CAGGTCACTGGCGTTGTTGCGAAAGTGAATAGAGCAACGTTATAGGTTGATGTGAGAGCTACCAGATGGTTTTCAAATTTTTATATTCGAGAGCATGCTTGTTTCCTCTTTCTCTCTTCTTCCTTTTTCCATCTTTCTATAGCCTGAACTTCTTCCTATTCCACCCAAATTCAGTGAATAAGAGGTATGAACAGACACCTGCTTCCTCTCTGTATATATTAAACCGATTATATGCTATCTCATGTATTACAGCGTTTAGCTACAAAACGACTGACGCTGACGAGTGACGATGCTACAATCGTGCCAAAGAAATGGCTTTGTTTTTAAGATAGATAATGGAACTTCCCAAAAGAACACATGGAAATGACCACTTTGCTAGCTTTCTGAAATTGAAACAAGAAATTTTACCCTACTTTCATCTATATAATGCATAATTTCATCCCACGTGAAATATATTCGCTCGCCTGCTTACCAATTGGTGATAAGTCACTACTACATATATCATTTCACAGATTACTTCATATAATGATAACGCAGATTATTATTTCACAAATTCACAAATTACTAAGTCATCACACTTCGTGTGAATGAAAAAAAAAAAAAAACTAAAAGTTGGCCTATTCTCCAGAAATGAAACATTATAAAAATATAATGCAGTTCAAAACAAAAGACATAAGCAGGATGAGCTGAGCTTGCTGGCGAAGCAACGCTCGCATAAAAGTGGTAATAGTTAAAGTGACGTCATTTAAATTGTCAAAGCTTTGGCCACAGAAAAGTAACTAATTCCACAGATAGTTCTGCTAGTGTGTCTATCAGCGGTAAGTTTAGCTTGCTATTTGTATCGAAATGAATTTTTAGTGCAATAAGTATAACACAGTGTAACAGATGATGGCGATGCAAACAATGCGGGGATGAGCTAGAAGGTATGCGAAGATAAGGATTGGTGGTAGCAGAGTATATGTTCACATTTAATTTTACTTCCATAACGAAGCATCCTATCTTCGCCTTTGCTCACCTATTTGCCTATCTGTTATTTCAGTCTTAAATCCTCCCTCTATCCTTTACTGCTTACTCTGAAAACAAAGTAATCTTTGTTAGGCAACGGAAGATAAATTGTTGGACAGTGCGCCTCCACCACTAATGTTTCATCTCTTTGCGAAACAGAACAAGTTTGTTTGTATACAACATATCCAGCAAGCAACTTATAACCAACAATGAGGGTAAAGACGAGAGCGAGTTGCACAGCTATGACAGTATGGACGGTATAAATTACTAGATATCGTGGTATGGGCCAGGATGATTTAATCTTACAAAATCACAAGATGCTGGATGTAACTGCATAGAGGATTTTAATAGAAACGACTGGCAACCAACATTTATAAGTATATCATCTGCAAAGTAAGAAATTAAGTGTAGTTGACCTACAAAAGGAAGTAAGACATTTAGTGTTCGTTCAACAGTGACTACATTGTATCAAAGGAAACCTAAGAAATTAAAAGAAACTAGGACGTTGTTTTAGAGTTATTGTTTGTCGGATACTTCGACTCAGTCCATCCGCTGAGATTGGTCGATTTACAGTCACTGCATGCGAAATACTGAAAGTTTTAAATTAATAAATGTAGAATTTTGTGAATGTACAACGGTTCAGCCAAAATATATGCTTTCTCTGATGCATAAGTTGTTTCCAAGACAATGATGATTTACTGAAGTTCGTTGACAACGCCCAGTATTTTTAGACACAATATATTGTACTCTAGGCTCAAAATATTAAACTGTAATTGTTAAAAATGACAAAACTTAAACAATCCCTCCAGACGAATTCTGGATGAAATAAAATGTGAGCACTTTTACCACTGCATATTAGATATAGGATGATGAGAAATAATCCTAAAGAAAAGTTAAATAAAAACGATAATAACTTTAAGAAATTTAACATAATCTTGCTGTTGAAAACGTTGACTCGATGCTTGCTTGTCACGATAATCCATCGATTATAGTGACAATACAAAACAAATGGCCTGAACACAAAAAATGAAACACAGTGAACATTCATTTGGCTTATTGATAATTGCTGCTTGTGGAATGATAATGCTAAGACACTGATCGTGGTGGAATGAATTCGAGTGAAGCTGATTGATTAGTCTAAGACAAAAGATTAAAATAACGACGCCCGGTTTTCGCATTATCTCAGTAAAATAAACGGCATCGCATTAAAAAATGAGCGATCTTTGCGAGTCTTGAAAACGAGAGAGAAATGATGTGTTCCGATTGTTATGAAGTTGTAATATTTTTGCTCTTCAGATGACACTCGGAAAATTTTGTTGAAAGAAGACATCAGAAATGATTAACAAGTCGAATGAGATTCACAGTTAAAACAGAAGAAAATAAATAAATATAACGGAAGAGTATCTTTATAAGAATTAATATCTCAGTACAACTTTAAAGTTTCGAAATATGAAAATGGGGAATTGAAATGAAGAAGATTAATAGATGCAGCCAAAAAGAATTGATGAGTTTTTGGTTGAGGGAACACCAATGAGACTTGGATATTTTGCATCACAAATATATTAAGGAAGAAATTTTCTAAAAGAGTAACTGGAAGGCCTCTCTCAACGATTATTCTCTGAGGATGCTTGTAAAAGACAATATAGTCACATTAAATGATGTCATCAAGTGTAGAGCAAAAATGTGAATAAATATTTTACTCTGTACTATCAAAATTTTAATTTTTTATGATTGATGCTTTGGGGACTAATCAAATTTGACTAAGTGATAAGCATCACCGACTTGGCACATAACAGCTGAAAGTTACCTTGCCATTTTTAAACTGGGTAGAAAGAAATCTCATCATTTCAATGTTTCTTGTACATAATGTGCTGGGGGAAGGAAAAATAAAATGTTCGATTTAAAAAATCAAACACTTCGACCACCTGAAAAAATTTCCTCACTGAAATATTAATTAATAGCTTTTCTTAATAGCTAATAATTGAAATAATAAAACGACTAAGTTCTGGATGTTATATCCTATTGTTGCTCATTGCATCACTTGACAATCTACGATAAGGAACTTAAATTTCTTTATTAGACCTCATCAGTACTTTAGGATGCATCACACACACAAAAGGTAGTCAGCTATTTTAAGAAAAGAATTAAAAAAAATTATGGGACGTGGTTTACTGACCCTGGTAATTGATACACTAAGTGGAACATATCAGCTAAAAATTAATTTAAATCTTGCACCAAACCAGACCCAACCTACCAAAACACAATACAAGCGCTCCAGACGTTCAAAATCCCACTCGAAATTTTCCGAAACTTTTTAACCCTCCTTGTTCTATTACATAAATAAAATACATTCAAAAGAATATGTAGCAACAGGAATTCATGACAACGATATTCTTCTCTGTGATTTCTAACTTCATAAATGTTCAAGAACTTTTATAAAATTTATGTAATTCTTTCTCAACTAGAAGTGATATCAGTCTTAAATATTTTCATTCGGTTCATATTCCTCGCAGCATTTACCAACTACAACTTTTGCTAATTTTTAGGAGGGAAGCAAAATATATTTAATGTTGCATTTATAGTCTACTAAATAATTTACAGAGTTTATAAGAAATTTTTAAACGAGTGCATGTTGCATGATATAAAAGCCGGTCACAATCTTTCGTTGCAAACATAAGGAAACTGAAATTGCAAGAAACCTTTCTTCCAGAAAAAGGTAGCACCTTAAGGAAAGTGAATGTTGACAATTTTATGTCACTGAAATTCCACGATAAAAATCTTAAATGGTTGAGCAGTCATTATTTTGAATCTGCAGTTCATGAAAAGAGAACTATTTACCACCACACCGAATAACAGGAAAAATAATTGAAACTATCCCAAACTCCAGTCCGCGTGGATCGCACTCAGGCGAAAAAATTAGAAAAAAACAATCCTCAAGAAATTTTAATAACCTTCATCAAACATTTTACGCAAGAAAAGCTCTAAAATATTTCAAAAAATATCAGGCGGAATAACAAATAACTAGGATAAGAAAAATAATAGTGGGAACATTACAGGAATTCAAGAAATTTAGAGCAGGTCAAATAGAAAAGCACTATGAATCTTGCAAATCTGCTCCTTTATCTCTCGAACACAATTCATGCTGTCAGTTGTTAAAATAATCTGGTCAAATCGCTTGCTGTAGGTGATTTGTACAAACATATTAACTTGAAATACACAAAAACGCCCAAACGACGAACAAATTATAACCATAAAAAAAAAGGATTACGATTAGAAAGGATATCAGAACACCTAAGGCTTGCACAGTAATAATGCACAGCAACAATCCAGCAGTGATGCATTCGTGAGATTTCTGATAACCATACCTATTATGTAGATACCGCCTAAACGAAACTCGAATTCTCTAAAAAGTACAATTATGAAAAAAAGAGAGGTATTTCGCATCACGGCCTATGTTGCTTACAAACAGCTGGTGAAATTCCAGTAAGGCCAATTATATCGAACAAACCCGATGTTGGACTACTAACAGGCAGTCTCAATACGAGACTTATGAACGATCAAATAAAAGCAAAACAACATATTTTGAACTGTGTTTCTGAAAGACCGCAACACGCGCTAAACTAGAACCATGCCAATGTGATAGGCCTACTGCTCTTCACCTAACTTTTGAGTGAATGTCGTGGATAAATCAAGAGCCCAGTGTATAGTATCGAAATTGAAAGCACTCATCACTTATTAACATGTAATCAGTGCAGATATTTACCCTCACTGATTTGCTAAACGTACCAGTTGTCATATCTATTAGAAGTTCCCAGCAGTAAATAAAAAATAAAAATTAAAAAAAAAACATAGCTCAAGTAACAGATACTGCTAGTAATGTTCAGATAATTTGAAAACAATTTATAAAAAAGTAAAAAGCTACGTGGAAATGGCTTAAACGGTGTGCGATTTGAATGAGATCTGCAAAAAGAAACCCCTTCTAATGCTTAACAATTTTATGTCCACCGAGTTTTTTCTGGAATTCTGCTTAGAGGACTTTCATATTCATTGTTTTTCCTCTTTTCTCGAAGAGAAAGAGGAGCTTGAGGTATGGTAGTTGTACCAGCTGCGGCAGAATTATTTGACGGTGATTTGGTTCCTTCTCTCCTTGCACGATTCATCGCTCTTTCATCACGATCTTGACTGCTGTCACTCCTGTATCCACCAATTACATACCTTCAAATGACAGTTTAATAAATAGTTAAATGTCAATAGTTTTGTGATGAAATTAACCAGTAATGAATGTACTCTGCAAATTAAGAAATGAATAAAAAACATGAAGTTATCTTAATCAAATACGGCTAACTTAGAAAATATACTCTAAGGAAACTATATTCTTCGTATAAATACGAACCTTTTTAAAAATGCTAACCTTTTCACTTGACGTGGATCAACAGCAGCACGAATTTGTGGCATCCAGTTACCTCCCGAACTACGACGACTTTCATAACTGCCAATCCGCTCTGCACTGTGTTCTTCCATAAAACTATTTTCGTAACCAGCTAAGTGCAAACGATGATCTTGGTCACGATTTTGAATTGTTACCTCCACTGCCGCCCCATACACATTATCAATTCCAGCTCTTGATGTGGATGTTGACGGTATCTGTCCAATTTGAATTAAGCTATTGGGCTAAAACACAAGGAAGAATAGATCTGAGCACTAAAGAAACAAATAAAATTAAATGCTTTTTAAAATACAAAATATTTCACTAGAAACAACAAGAATGTAGCTAAATCTTTAAATTTAGCTTGCTGAAAATGAAAAAAAAAAATTAAGCAATACTCACCGGAGCAAGACGCGGGTCCAACGTAGGAGTTGTGGTTGAAACCAAGCGAGAATCAGCAACAGTCGTTACACGTGGATCACTTACTGTTATTCTCTTACGTGGATCTCGATTTACGGTTGAAATCCTTGGACCAGCTAACCTTGATGCACTGCAACTACTATTCACTAAAAAAGTGATAAACTACGTAGCATAATTCAGCGCGTTATAGCTTAAATAAATGCCGACCTGCATACTGTCACTTCTCTCCTATCAGCTAGATGTTGTTTCCTTGGTCATATAAAATTATAAAAATATTAAATTACATTTTTAAACTTAATTAACCTTGATTCTTCTTTTGGAAGAACAGAAAGAGCAATGGACTGGGTAGCAGATATACTTGCTGTAGCATTCGATTGCTGCACAAATATTTGAGGCGGTTGTGGTAGCGGTGGTGGCGCGGCATTCATTAAGGAATTCGTAAAAGCATCAAACTGTGACGCTAGTGCTTTCTTGATCCGCGGATCGTTACGAAGACCAGCATCAGTTAACGACATCTAAAATTAGACCGAGATATGACAACAATTTTTCTTTTAATTTAAATGAAAAAAAAGCAATGTTATCATACCCTATACGATTACAAAACATTTATGCTAGGTTCTTTATACCTGCAATATTTGAGAATCAATATTCGTTTGGGGGCTTGGTATGTCATCGACAGGATGTAGCTTCCATGCACGTATATTTGTTTCCGGAATAGTTGGAGCATTTTCATCAGCGACTGCATCTGGATTAAACATGGGCGGACTTGCTGGAGATTCTGCAAAACTACCAAAATTACTTATTCAGTGGAAACTGAAAGTAAAGTTGAAGAATACAAATCTCGATTATTCTTCCAAGAAATAGAAAAAATCGGTATTGAGTGCAAACCATCCATAGCATTGTCTTTCTTTACTTTAGCTGTTATTTGTTCCAGCATTTTGTTGATGTTAAACGAATTATCTTCTTCATCCTCCATTGAATTGCGTTTTTCAACACTTGCCTAAACAAATATTTTGATAACATTTTAGTAGTAAAACGTTTAAATCAATTTTCTGTGAACTGCGAGTGCTTTGAACAGCAACGATTGAAAAACAAACCGAATATTGCTGCAGAACAGTCGTTGCACTTTGAACAGGTTGAGGCGGCGCTAATCCAGCAACAGCACCACTTAGTGAAGTTGGATTCACAACTGCTGTAGCAGGGACTGAATGGTGCGGAAAAAAAGCAGGATAAGGAGTTGGATTAGCAGTCAAAGGTGGTGGTATGACGAGCTGAGGTTGAGCGATAGTAACCGGAGTTCCAGATGAAAGAGTTGGAACAACGACAGCAGGTGGAGGTATGACAGTTCCAGTTATTCCTCCATCTGCAGTTACTGTGACAATTGCCGGTACCGTTGGTTGAGCACCAGGTGAAGAACTTGGTCCACCAGGAAGCAAAACTCGTCGTTTCAGAGGTCCTTGCGGAATAGCTATGCGCGAGGCTAATTCATCGTCTTTCATCATCTGAAATATAATAACTTAATTTCATAAAGAAACAACCCTCAGTCAAGAAAACAAACCTTAGTGCACTTTAGGAAAGCACCAACCTGGTCGAATATTGGTTGTGTGAAATTGTTCAGAGGCAAATGTGAAAATTGACATGGATCTTTCGAGCATTCTCCTTTATGAAAAGCTTTACATGGGTACTCGCCATGTAGTAAAGGACACTGAAGACCTTTTTTACAAAAACCTTGCTGATAGAATTTGCACAGTTCAGCTTTGCGACCAGAATCTGCAGCATCGTGAGAATATGAACAGCTGTCGCCCTAGAATTTCGCAAATTGTGCCTTTATAATTTGCCGAACCTTAAATTTCCACGGTTCTTTTAATCACAAAAAACACAATGATCAGAAACTTCAGTAGCTAGTCAAGGCAGTTATTTTCAATTACTTTCCAGAAACTAATTTATTTCTGAAAGTGCATAGGTAATTAAACAAATCAAGATTACTTACGTCTCTGCAATATCCCTCACGGAAGAATTTACAAATTTGACGTTCACCCCAGCGTCCTCGGAAGCCTCTTCCGCGATAGCAACCTCGCACTGGTGGTGAATGTCTTGGTCGCTTAGGGCCACCGTATGTTGGACTTATAGAACGTCGACGCCTACAATGAAACATCATATCTTTAACTAAACTGTAACTACATTCGAGGTTGCGATCAATTTTGTTTGATTATTTGTAGTATCCCTAAATTATTTATTTTCTTAAACTAAATACTAACCGTCTCTCCATTTTGGGTGATCCACCTCTGTAATCGCTATCACCAAATTCATTCACATCACCAGACCCTCTGTGTCCATCTTCATCTCGTATCCACCGGTAATCCTTGAAATATTATCTCAGAAGGTCAGAAATCATGTACATCAAAAACTACACTAATTTGGTATTGCTATGAAAACCTGAAGAAAACGATGCTCAGAACATGACCAGAATGATATAACAGATAAGGAAGTTATCCCTGATTGACCTTCATCAAAAAACTATACAGATTGTGAATTTTGACTCAGCAGCATAACCAATTAAAAAATGTTTAATTGAGCAAGAAGTCATTTAAAGAACAGAAACTTTCCTCTTCAAAACTACTTTAAAAGTCTATAATAATATATAATTATACCTTATCAGCTGAATCCCCTCCTCGATTCCTATAATCCTTATCCCCTGTTCCATCACTTGGTGAGCTACTGCCGTACCCATAATATTCTTCATTCGCATCAACCGTTGGAGAGGCGATTGTTGTGATCCCAGGTTTCGCACGCTGTTTTACGCCAGTCATCCAGGAACTCAACATGCTGCCTTCAGCACCTCTTGCATTCTAAATTCTTCATCTTTCAGATTGTAAACAACAGTACCAATCCCATTTCCAAAAGTACAACATTTCAAAGTCTGAGCATAAAACATCTTCATGACATCTTCCAGCAGAACAAGTATCCTGAGACTCAAATTCATACAATTATATATATATGGGGATAGAGATGGCATATGAATTCTAAATATTACTGTCAAGAAAAGTTCCTAATATATCAATTTCCGAACTGTAGGTCTGAAAAATGATTTTCAAGCTGACCCCGCCCACTCAATCTCAGTACATACCCAAATGGCTCCAAAAGGGCACACGAGCGAGCTAAGGGCTCCTGAGTCATCCATACTAAATCCAATACGCTCATTGCAGAAGTCAAACCACTTATTCCAAATTGGAAGGGATAGGGACGGTATATGGGTTCTAAACATCAGACACTGTCAAAAAAAGTTCCTAATTAAGTCGAAGCGTGGGACACGCAAAATGAATCTAAGTTTGAATATTATTACAGGTGTTACTGATCAGAAAAATGTCTTCATAAAAACTATGGTAATTGTAATTTTGTGGTCAATTTTTGGAAACCCGCAAGGACACTGGACCAACTGTAAAATACACTGTAATGTATTTGTTGCGTTTGCATGCATTCTCCACCATCTGCTTGTTTTTCAGATATCTCCAGTCATCAATCATCATTTTTCCTTTTTTCACCAGTTATTTTATTATTGTTCGTTCATATGTCTGTTTTTGCATGTTGAATGATTTTTTATGCGTACCGCTACTTCTCTGTCGAAATCACGCGGTTTACGTAAAGGCGGCTGATTCAAAGACATATTCGGAGATACAGCTTGCGCTGCTTCTCGATTTTCCGTTATTTCACGATCGCGTCCTGAACAAAATTCACATAAATCTCATGTCGAAACTGTTCTGGATGAAAGTATGATTGATCAGACGATAAATTACAAACGAAACAGGCAGAATATTATACCATTCATTAAGACATTCAGATAACTTCTAAAAGATCAGCAAGAACAACCTTCAGCATCTTCGTCGTCACAGATTTCACCTTCTTCTGGTAGCTCACCATCTTCTACTTCCACTTCTGCAATGCTTTTGTTTTCCAGTTCAACGTCTTCCCTTACTGCTCCCGAAAATTCGTATTCTTCTAATGAGCTTGCCATAGCAACATCGACCATCGTTAACGCATCACTTTCTTCTGTTAAATAATGAATCGTCAAATCCAAATAGCAAATATACCATCCAAAAACGCGTAAGGAAACGAGTAGGACATGCAGTGGAAATAGACACTATGGCTTCGTTTAGGATTTCGATTAAATTATTTTAATAGATCCCTCTGTTTCAAATTGAAGATTGTGCTTACTTAACATCACAGAAAAATGACCAACTGAAATAATTCCTGAGGTTATCAAAAGATTTACGCTATCTTCAAAATTATGTTTTATAAATGAGTCTCTCGTTTACAATCCATAATAGTGGTTCTTTACAATAGTGGTTCTTTACGTTAGAATGGCTTGAAATTACCAAAGTACTCACATATAATAATGGTTGACTCATGATTATGGGGTGGAAACTCACAGTAAGAATACACATTGTTATGGAAGAACAATGTCTAAAATTTTCCCAAAAGTTCCAAGTAAAATTAAGGAACTATTGCACAAAATGAAATCCATTTCCTCAACGAACAAGAGATTGATGAGTGACAACAAAAAAAAGTGCTATGTTCAGTTTGCTGAGCCCCATGACCAGATTATGTCATGTACACTTCACTCTCATTTGTTCAGCAAGCAGTTCAGGAAGGAAACCTTACGTATTTTATCTCAGCTTGATTAAATTAAGTAGACAACTGTTTCTCCTTCCTTTTCAGAAACTGGCATTCACTTTCCCCAATCAAATAACCATAAATTCTGAACAAAGAATAACGTCAAAAGTAAATAATAGTACATATTTGGCTTCAAAAAGTGTTCAAATAAGAAACGTCATACAAAAACGATTTATCAGGTTCTTGACGATAACAGCACTCTGTCTATTACTTTCTTACAACTGCCCTTAATTCGAGTCTTTCAAAAAGACAACCGGTCTTCCGCGACACTTGTGGGCATGACTCACAGGAAATTTACTTTACTGTCTCAAAAAAAGGATTCGGAGCAATTATTTTTTCCAAAAAATTCACATGACCAGAATCAGCATTTCTACACAATAATCCAGAACAACCGTGATTTCATTAGAACAACGAAAGAAGCGCTTTGAGAAGCGAAGATATAACGGGGTAATTTCGATGAAATTGCATACTTTTAGTGAAATTTTGGCAGTTTATTCAACGACGTGAAGTGAAGCGGTGTTGACCATAAAAGAAAATCAAATCATCTGGTGGTGTCTAACATTATTCCCACGGCTGCAAATCCACTATTCACACAGGTGTTAACAGTAGTGAGTCGGAAGTAGAATGAAGACCTTAAATTAGCAGAAAAGCAAGAAACTTAGTTGCTGAATCTTTCATTTCAACAGTTAAGGGAACAAAAAAGTGTCACGACGATGAAATCATAACTCCAATTATACCCATAACCGGTCGCATATCCTTCGAAAAACATGTAATCAAATCGACTAAAGCATCAAACTGTGGAATGTTTCATGCACCAAAGCCCAGTGCATGAAGTGCTTCAAGTCTTCTATGAAATTCTGGATATCTCTATTTCTAAATCCCAGTTCGCCATACCTCTGCGTAATACTAAAGTGCCAACAAAAATGATATCAATTAACTTTAGCAGTATTGTAATATTTCCACTTCCTGTTTTGTTCTAAAATCAATAACATTCGCCATAATTTATTAATCGCTGAACGAACAGAATGTCTTTCCAATCAGTTCGTGCAAATATTAGAATTCTACTTTTAAATAAATGTAAATGTGATATAAGCTTTGATAACCTATGATGACCTTACGACCCTCAAATGACCAATTCAAAAATGAGCGTAGACTACCTTCGGAAACGAAAACTAAATCATAAAAGACATGCTCCTAAGTAAATAGCACACCTGAAAGCTGTCCGACCTGTTCTAACAGATTCATTAACATCTTCACAAAAAAAAAAAAAAAAAAAAAAAAATTTGCGATACTTTTTTCGATGCTATGAACTTGCGCAACATTAAAAAGATGCTTATTTTAATTGGAGAATTTATTGCTTCCTCTGAATTATCACTTACACAGTTCCATTTTACAAGCCTTAAAGTCCTGGTAGCTAAAGTCCCCTCTCCACCTCACAGCAACAATCTCCGAACTTAAGTGTTGCCAGCATCTCTTCTTCCAGAAGGTTTGGCGACGAGGTACTCGTGAAAACTGCACCAACAATTTAGATTAAGATGTGAGCAGAGACGTTAAATTTCACTTCATAAGCTACCTTCAGTATCTAGGAATCACTCATTCCGTGTTCACGGACTTCGTTGGCTTTTTTCGGAGGAAATTGTGATTAAAAATGTGTTTTGAATTCTTTTGAAAACTTTCCGATCTGCGTGCGCACCACTGCGACACGTACTATGCAAGACGACTTTATGGTTAGGCTACATTCCAGTCACTACTCGAATTATGGGCATAAGCAGTGGGAAGAAAAAGGACACTACTAAGACCTCGACAGATGATGCTAATGGTGTTTTAAAACCCCAGAAAGGAGAGTCGAGCGAGTGAATACGACGTAGCACGACAAAAAAGTGAACTGATAGTGCCCTTGCCAGCTATCACCCCACAAAATTGCAGGAGTTGACGGATATATCAGTAGTATATCAGTGGTGTGCTTCTCAACATGTGATGTTCAAGGATGTATTCAAGAGCAGCCCTGTCTGCACTGACCATGTCGTCGTATCTTTACATTCATCGTTGGCAAATGTTTTAATGAAGGTCAGAAACAATTACCAATGGGATATCAAATGCCTGAGAACTGCAACATTGCCATCTGCTACTCTTAACACAACTCCATCCTCTACATCTAGTAAATGCCCAAACCGTACAGTGTTTCTGGTCAACAAGCTTACATGCAACACTTGATAGGTCTTGACAGAAGCCGCGCCCACAAGTTCAAGTTCCGCCCTCCTCCCCACAATCTCCCCACAATATGCATCCTGCACCTGCATAGTTGACGTGATGCCTATGTATATAAGTAATAGTAGGATGAGTGCGCAGCTTATTGTAAATTACTTTACAATTTTACTTCTCTAGAGAGATTAAGGGAACAGCATCTCTTCCAACCTGTCAAAGCTACAAAAATGTACAGAGCACAACTGTCGAATGAAAAGCAATAAAATCAACTTGCAGATGACACTCATTTTTCAAATATAAATAACTCCAATCCAAGTTTCCTGAACAGCTATGAAGTTTTGATACTTGTAAAAGCAATCTTCTTTTCTGCATAGCAAACATAAACACTGCGGTTGTAAACACAGATGGCTAGTAGGGGAAAAGAGATTAGGTTTTTGCGTGACCAGCTCGTACCACTTGCCGAGGAAAGACTCTTATTAGTATCACACGTACAAATCAACGCATAACTTTTGTATCACCTTCAACCTCCAGCGTACACACATCCAGGCTGCGGTCTTTATAGCGTCGCATCGTCAGCACGGCAATGGCACACCGGCACCAACATAACACTCTGCCACTCTTCCCTTCCTCCCTATCCGCCTTATACAATCTATTAGGACTACCTTACTCTTTGCACCCTCCTGATCTCCGTTTCCTCTCTCCCGCCACTTACTGCTAGAGCACCTCGGCTCTCACCTATAAATGCTATCTCCATCTTCCACAATTTTGCAGGATTGATCGATTTCCTTTCGCCCTACATCCTCACACCACATATCGCCCATCATTTCTCCCGTTGTCTGGCAAACCAACCCACTCTGCTCTAGTGCTGATATTATCTTCATTCTCGAATCATTTCAACATCCGTATTATTAGCCAATTTGGTTAACATCCTCACATGTGTGTGTGTGTGTATGTGTATGTGTGTGTATGTGTATGTGTGTGTATGTGTGTGTGTGTGTGTGTGTACTTGAAATGACAATGGACATATTGTGACGAGATGTATAGGGAATTTTGTCCGCCGCTGGATGAATGGCGGCAAACAGTACGAACGGCAAGACGTACTGGTCACGCCGGCGGGGAATGACCATTCGAACACATTCCATGTTCATCTTCCAATCCTGTCCCTTCTCTCTCCTTTCCCCACCTTCCACGACTACTGGTAAGTAGCGGGTTGCCAGTTCTTGAATATGTTAACAATGATTCTTCTATTTGTTGTGAAAATTCCGGGAGGGATTTGTATTTACTTATGGTACCCGTTACTACAGAACAATATCAAGCCAAAACTTAATTGCAAATCCAGTTTTATGACCTTACAGATCCAAGGTTTCGTTGCTATACGCTTCCCATAAAAAAGGTGCCTGCCCCAGATCCACGTAATGACATTGCTCCCATTTGCTATGCCTATCATCAAACTGTTGGCGATCTTGTTCATGGAGGTCAAAACCAAATCCCATATCCCTTCAGACTTTTGGAACTTGTCTCCGTGTCTTATTCAAATTATTACTTTCTCTTTAAAAACTTAAAGGTAGGGAAGATGTAGTTCGCTCTCTATAATTTTCCGTCTTCACTTTCTTTTCATTCCTGCTCGTCTTTGTTTTACTTTTCCTAATTTTCACTTTTCAGGTAATGTTTTGAAAAGATAAATTCCCAATAATTTTGTGAAATAAATTGGCAGCAATAACCAAAAGTACCCTTCACTAGAGGAAAAACACGCCTCTCGGTAGACGAGACTATTCTTGATTTCAAAACTACCATGAAAGACTGATGTCGGTCCCTTCTGCATAAAATTGATTTTATAAATTGTTGGAAATTCATTCAAGCAATGTCAGTTTTTATGAAAATTTGTTGAAAGGGACTGTCGTTGAAGTTAATGACGCAGGTACTTTCAGTCGCTGATGCTTCCAGTACAATTTGCGATAGAAGAGTAGTGAACTAGTAAGTAAAAAAGTTATTCTAATAGACCGCTTCTGCGATGCGACTTGCACACATGCACACGCGACTCACACAAAGAGACCACACATACATAACACATTTGCAGTGGGAAAACCGCGGTGTACGAGTGGCAAACTTTCTATACGCCTACTCTATCTTGCCTATCGTCGTACCAACACA